GTTAAAATAATTTAAAATAATTGCCACATTATCATCCGTCGTGACAGTTTTTGTTCTTGATCTTTTACCTGCAAATTTGGCTCATTGAATTTATGGGGATTTATTAAAAAACACAAAACCTACCTTCAAATGCTTTAGGGTTTTGACGTAAACTAGTTTCTAACCTGGCAAACATTTTGTGGTCTGGAAGGTTGCGTTCGGGGTATTTTTCCGCATATAATCTTCTTGCAGCTAAACCATTTTTTTGGGCTTCTCCGTATAAAAGAAGCATGTCAACTTTATCTGAATGTGTAAACATATTTCTTATTACTCACTATTTTAATAGGAATAATTGAAATTACACTGACAGTTTCAGACATCAATCAATATAAGCCAATTATGTTTTTTCAAAGCCTACCTGATTTAGTGAAATTTAAAATACCATGCATTCTTTGTATGGCAATCTAGAAATTTGGAACATAAAAACTGGTCTGTAATTTTTGAATGGTTTTAGATGGAAAAAAATAGTATTTAAAAAAAGTGTTTTTATTGAATAGATCTTTCAATTTCTGAAATAAAAATGGTATGCTTCTGACAAAAAAAAATTTAAAGCGTCGCGACGCCCAGCGTCGTTTATTTATAACTTCCTTATCCATCCCAATTTCAAGCAATAACCAGCCCAAATAAAATACTTTTTACAGAACCCAATTTGCTGCAGCCATTTACGAGAAAAACTCATTTCCCATGATAAAAGAATCACCCTGACAGTTTAGGTTTTTGAGGTCGCTTAATTCAATTATTATGTCAGATTGGACAAATTGACCGTTGACAGCTGTCAATTCACGGTCAACGAGGAATATAAAAGTAAATATCCTCTTTTCACATTGAGAGTTTGGGTTTTTGAGGTCGCTGAATTCAATTCTCATGTCAGAATGGACAAATTGACAGTTGAAAGCTGTCCAATCTGACATGAGAATTGAATTCAGCGACCTCAAAAACCCAAACTCTCAAAGTGAAAAGAGGATATTTACTTTTATATTCCTCGTTGACCGTGAATTGACAGCTGTCAATGGTCAGTTTGTCCAGTCTGACATAAGGGTTGAATCCAGTGACCTCAAAACATTACCCTATATATTAGAATAATTAAAATATGCTTTTGACATCTGTAAATAGAATTGAAAATGAATAGTTTTGCAACGGGTCAGGGGAGCTTTGGCAGCTCCGTAGCTTCTAAAAATATTCCTTTTAGCACTTTGTGCCTATGGAGACTTTTGTTCAGGATGACAAAATCTACAACATATATAAAAAATTCAGACAATTTGACAGAAACCCAATTTCCATAAGATTATTGCGGGGTCCTTTACCGTGTATTAAAAGATGGTCTAAGAGATACAAAAAATCGAAAAGGTAAAGGTCATAAAAAGAGCTGGAAACATCAATGCAAAAATGGTCGTGACAATTATATTTACCAAGCTTATCATAGAAACGAATTTCCTACGTTAGTCTCTGTAATGTTAACTTTGAAGGCAAGAAGACAGTTTTTTAATATTTGTACCGAAAAAATTGCGCCCATGGAAAATAAAAATGGGCTTTCTATACAAAAATATTTATAAGTGGTGTGAAATAATGGAAACACAAAGAATAATATACTGAAGAAACGATTAGTTGTAAAAAATTACAAATTTTAAAAATCAAACAAAAGCAATTTATTATTTGGATGAAAAAAGGGCGAGTCAATAACTCGTGACGTTTTCTACTAAAGTTCCACTATATAAGAAAACAAGGTTAATAATTCTACATTGTGGTTGTAAAGAAGGATGGTTCCAAATGGTTTAAAGGTTTTTAATACAAAGAACCCCGCACAAATCTTATGGAAATTGGCTCCTGGTCAAATTGGCTGTAATTTGGATATGTTTTGCTTATTTTGGCTCCTACGGAGCTCCAAAGCTCCACGGATTGACCATTATTTACTATTTAAAAAGGCAATCTCCTCGAAAGTTTAGTATTTGCTGCATTAAAAAAGAAGTACCTTCTTATGTATTCGGAGCCGCTGCATTCAAATCCAATGCCAATATAATAATATCGACAGTGACAGCTGTCAACTAGCTGTCAAACAACAAGCAATAATCAAAATTGAAAAATCCACATGTAAATATCTGTTTTTGAGGCAACTGAGTTCAAAACTGATGTTAACAATTCGATATTGATAGTTGACAGCTGTCAACTAACTGTCAAACAGTATGTGACAATCAAAATTGACAAAATTCAGAAGTAAATAGATATCCTCGAGGTTTCTAAGTTCAAAATTGATGTCAAAAAGACGATATTGACAGTGATCAGCTGTCAACTAACTATCAAACAGCATGTGACAAACAAAATTAATAAAATCCACATGTAAATATATGTTTTTGAGGCAGCTGAGTTCAAAACTGATGTTAATAACTCAATATTGACAGTTGACAACTATTAAATAATTGTCAAACCACCACAATATTTATTTCTACCGGCAGCGTTAGCGTTACCCGATGTTCACCATGTGGAGATCGCGCGATCGGTTTTTGTACATATTGGCCCTGAAAAGGGCCGATTGCTTTATTGGATCTATGATTTCACGATATTTTTTATCAACCTATTTATAATACAGGACGATATATTTCGTCCTATTTTAGGAATAGTTAAAGAAAAATTATCACGAACTCCGATTTGAATGCATTTAGTAAAAAGGGACGGTGGTCTATCGCGCTTATATTCATTTATAGGCAAGTTTATGAGTCTGAGACTGCTGGGTTTCGAATCCCAGACCAGACCATGTGGATTTTTAATTAAATTGCATGGTTCGGTTTAGGATTTGATGTGTGGCATATTAATAGAAATTCAATTTCTGTTGATATGACATGCAGATTAAAAAAATTCGCCATACATTATCGTCTCGATGATGGTGGGTGAGGTTTTCCGGGTTTTCCTCACCTGTAAGTCGCCCCGGAGCGCCACGGCAAATAATAATAATAGCCGTCCCTTCCCCTACACAAGTCATTCAGTCGACTTCAGGGGTTGAAATTCACTCGTAAGGGGGTGAATTAGGGAGAGTATTATTATTATTATTATAATTATATTATAATGTAATATTACAGTTTAGTTATTGTGGACGGTTTCTTGCATCTCGAATAGTATTAACGATACTAGTGAATGGATAACGAATATTAGGTTCGTGCCTTGCATATCCTAAGAACCATAGGTCACTTGTAACATGGGCACGATTACCAACAGTACGAGCACCGGACGGACAAGTACAATAATAACCGAAAATGGACTCTTCGTTCCTGTTGAATTCATAATCTTCCTCGTTTCCTTCATTCTCATCATTTGGTTTAAAGGTGATGCAAAGCTGATGTTTTGTGGCACTTCGGAATCGATATTTTCATGTGGATTTTATTAATTTTGATTAATGCCTTGTGGCTTGACAGTTATTTGACAGCTGTAAAATGTGAATATTGATTTGTTACCATCACTTATGAACTCCGCAACCTCGAAGACATATATTTTTATATGGATTTTATCAATTTTGATTGTCACATGCTTCGTAGGAGCCAAAATAAGCAAAATTGAGCTTTGTGTCCATTAAGACTTTAGCTCAGGATGCCGAAACGAACAGCATATTCAAATTTCAGCCAATTTGACCAAGAGCCAATTTCCATAAGATTTGTGCGGGGTTCTTTAGCAGAATGCACTGTATATTATCAAAAAAAAATTGTCTAGACATTTATTAGAAGTTTAAATATTACTGCTCAAGAGGGTGTAGGTGACTAAACACTGGGTAGTAGGAGAAAATTAAAGAATTTGTATTTCAAGTGTGTAGAGGAGCAATTGTTTTAAAAGGATTCCACTTTATTCAAAAATTAATCTAGCGCTTTCACCGAATTAGCTAATTTAAAGAAGAGTTTTAATTTATTTTTCCCATGGCGTCCATCACATGCAATGGTAATACACCAGTGTGACTGAAGGTATTTGGGGCTTTTCTCAAATTACGGAAAAATCAATTGACAATCGGCGTTCCAATCACTCATTAGTTTTTAAGTTTCCCACTAATCTCCTAGGTCTGGTAGTGGGTCCTGATGCTGCAACTTAACACACCTGTTGAGCAGAGTCCTTAACTTGTTGATGTTTGATGTGTTTTCTTACGGTTTTTTGATAGGTATTATTTATTTTACTTCATTTTTATACTGATTGGCTAATCTTTGCAGAGTTCTGAAGATGCTTTAATCGGCGAAAGTGCTAGACTAATTTTTAATTAAAACAATTAAATCAATTTCTCTTCGGCACACTTCAAATACGAAATCTTTTATTTTTTCCTTTTAGGGTCATTATGATCGACACTAGAGGCTGGTAGAAAAAAATCCTGACAAAGTCATGGAATAAAGAGCCAATTAAAGACCTTGTAATGGTCCATGATCTTTATTGCAAAGAGAACTACACAAAAAAACAGCTACTTGAAGTATTTGCTACTAAGGTATTTCCTAAAAGGTACATTGTAGACGAGATGAAGTTTTAAGGTGACCATTTTAATTTTGCGTTTTGAATCCTATTGAATTGGGGTCAACTAAAAAAAATACGTCAAGGAAAAGTAAATTCAAAATTCGATGTTAAGATAAGAGAACCAACAAACTAAGAGGTGTAAAATATTTCAGTAGTTAATTAGCAAAATAAATAAAAACAAATGTTAACAATGGAAGAGAAGTACAGTGGAATAGGTAATGGAAAAATAATTATGAAGAAGAAGAAGTGGAAATTGAAGAAGGAGAAAACTAGAAAGAAACAACCAGGATTTAGTGATTATATAGAGTTTAACATTCTAACAATCCATGAGCTTTTTATTAAAAAATATGCTAAAAAACCTGGAACCGCCCTTGTATTTTACGATTTTATTACGAAGCTTCTTCTAATTTTTTTTTATTCTAAACTCTTAAACTACCGAATTCATCGATACAATGAATATGAAAACATTAATAAAAATCGTTACTTACCGACGATGTACATTGAATAACGTCACGACAGTTGTCGCCCTCGCCGCTCACCAATCGGAACCACTCCCCTGCATCTTTGTCTTTGCAAATTTCAGTCTCGAAGCTCTCCTCCTTCTTGGCTGGTTCTTCGCTCGCCTGTTGTTGGGCCAAACCTTTTTACAAAACAATCATAAAAATTTATTACATATATATACATCGAATTTGTGTAATAGAAAGAAATTCGTGATGGTATGTCATGTGGGATGGATGCTGCAATGAAAGTGCAAGTCACTGTTGATTAGGAAACCGTTAATTTCATTCGGAGATAGATGCAACTATCTCTATTATATTTGAAGGCCGTTTCTTACGTTTCAAGTTAAATTGAAAACCGTAGTATTTTATGATTGATTTATTTCTTTTTGCCTCAGACTCTTTTCAAAATTTAGCAGAGTTCAACCTTCTACCCATTGATTTTAATATAACCTAAAAAATTGGTACTAATGCGAAGAAATTCTAATATATCCCATTCCATAAAAATCCAATTCCAATGCACGTAACTGAGGACCTCGATTACAGGCATTGATACCAGACACACTATTTAAAATAATGGAATTTTATTTGGCAATTAAATGAACAAATTCAAACGCATAGGTAGGATTTTAATAGAATGCTTTTAGTGAATTTCTTAATAAAATCAAATTCCTCAGCTGTCAATTTTAGCACAATGTTCTGTGTTTTGTACTGTTCGATTTCGTTTCAACAAATTATTTTGTATTTGAGATTACATCATTAACAATCTGTTCTTTTTAGAGCAAGTTTATTGAATATTTATTAGTGGTGTTCGTTATGTAGTATATTTTTTATTTAAAAATAATAAAACAATTATTAAATAGTCTCTGTACGGAGAAATAATGTGATAAGAATGATTCTCTGTTGCATCTGCTAGAGAAGTAAGTACATTAATAATGTGTATCAACATGAAATTAATATAATTATTTTCTTTTAGCGTGTAGCAGCAGTACTTGATATTGATCTGTTTATTATAAGCAGTAAAGAAGAGTGAAGTTCTAAAGTCACCACCAAAACAGCGCCCTACCAGTGATACCAGTGCTATTCGAGATACCAGTGCTGCTCGAGATATCAATGCTATTCGAGATGTTACTTATAGCATATACGAGTCGAGTAAGTGCAGAAAAATAAATTATAAGTGAACAATTATAAATTAATATATGATTTCAGAGGAGCATGTAACTTTAGATTCTTTGTTGGTGAAACTCAATAATAGAGAGTTGTTCAATGGATTTAGCACATCATTGCATACCTTATTAGAAATAGCTTTCAAATGGAAGAAAGAATAAACAACGAGAGGTCTTATGGAACGTCCTGATATTGCTGTGAATTTTTAAGTAAATATGCCAAAGAAAAGGAAGCAAGTTTGTACCAGTTTGTTTTTATTGACGAAATAAATGAAGCGTAGAAAGTAAAAAAGTTGATGGTAAAAGGTTGTTAAAGAAACTAAGAAATATATACATGTTAACTTTAAAATATTTTTTTACATATATATAATTGTTCATACTGGAAACGAAAGTGGATTTGTTGATAGTGCCCAAGGCTGTATTTACTTCAAAAAGCAATCAATGTGAATATGATGGTGAAATGAAGAACACATTTGTTTTTAAACAATTCGAAGAACAAATGTTCTGAAATCTTCATGAACCATCTTTAATCATAGCACATTGGCATATTGGAACATTGGCACATTGGCACATTGAAACATTGGAACATAAAACACCAAATAGTAATTGCACTAAAGCTCAAATTCAAAAAAGTGTTACTGATGAATCAGAACATAATTTCACCATGTTTAAGGCTAAATTTCTGAAACTTGTTATACGGTGAGTAATAAAAATGTATTTTCTTTATTCTTTATATGTTATAATTTTTTTAGTAATAAGCTACCAAAAGTAATGTAGCTGCTGTGCTACAGACCTAAGGTGTTACGTATTTCTCCCTACCATTGTGTCTTTAAGTCAATAAAATTTACTTGCAAATGGTCGGAATATCAAGACACAGAAAGATTGTATAAACATGTGATCTGAAGCACCCAAACTATAACTCCTTAAATGTGGGTAAACAGTATAAGAGAACATATAATGGACAGATTGGAAATTGCTTCCATTATTATAACACCAAACATAGATGATTCTGACTTTAGTTCTGATTATTCTGACTCTGACTGATGTGAGAAGAGTTTATTAGCCTTTGAGTTTTATTTAAGTTTTAAACAAACATGTGTTGTCAATTTATTGTCTAACTGTTCTAATTATTGTTACTTGTTTTAAAAATAGATGTTTATAAACATAATTATTCTTTATTGCAAGTTACATCAAGTCCTAAATAAATTTTGTTTGTTTGTCATCGTTAATCTAACATTTCTTTGGCCATATTGCAAAATGCTGTATTATGTGATGCTTACATCCTATCTTGTGTTTCACAAGGTTCACATATCGATTCCCTATTGTTTTCTTTATTTTTTAATTATAATTTTGGAAGAGGATTTAAACATTTTACACTCCAACTCAAATAGATTTCTTATCTGGTGTAAAAATAACGCTCTTTCTATAAATGTTGATAAGTTTCCAATCATACATTTTACAAGATCGACAGTAGTTTTTTGACAATTATTGATCTGGACATTATTTTTGATATCTGGTAACACAGATTCCATAGTATGCAATGCTCTCAGAATGCTTAGTTTTGTCAAGAGACATACTAGGTATACGAATTACATAAAAGCAATCATAATACTTTACAATTACCTGGTAAGAAGTGTCCTGGAATACTTTTATGCTGTTTGGCAACATACATCTGTTACATCAATAGAATTGAAAGGGTGCAACGTAAATTCGTAAAACATCTCATCTTTAAGTATACCGTTTCCATAATCATAGTACATTATCAAAACATTCGCTTTCCGATAAAAATATAAACATATGTATATCAGGATGTACTTTGCTAGCAACTGTTAGATTATCCCAGTTAAATAGAATTTCTTTTTCATCAACATCCTGTGTATAAGAGTAAATTATTTACGTTTAGAAATATTAGTAGAAAGGGAAAGGTTACGTAATTTATTGATTAGTATTCATATTAGAGATTAACTTTAAATAGTACATAATTAACTAATTAAATTAACATAATGAAAAAAATTTAAATAAAATTAAAAAGTATATATTTAATTCCACCTAGGGTACAGAAAGTAACTTAATACTTATAAATTTTTAATGATTTATTTTGATCTGTTGGGTGTAAATGTCAGAACCTTGACTTTTGGGGTTAAAATTTCAAATGTAGTTTTATTTAATCGATAAAACTATAAATATATTATTATGCTACCAAAAATTTTATTATAATTTTAAATATAATCCTTATTTAAAAAGTACAGGGTATATAGATATATCGGTAAAGAGAGGTTCTGACTACATTTGTAAATAAGTTTTACAGTGCCACCATTAAAGTTTGCATTATATGGGATATTTAAAATTATTTACACAAAATAATGTTTTCTTAATCAGCAATACCTGTCAAATTTGACATCAATTGCGATCATTTGGATAAATTTTGGAAATATTTCAATTATTTTTATTAACATAAAATTTATAAAAATGTTATAATTTGTACGTCCATGAAACTTATTTATAAAGAAGAACTATCATTATGGAAATCGGTATACTTTGCTACAAACTTGACAAGAGAAATTTCAAAAATTTCATTGATTTAAAGAGTTAATTTTTGATTTTCTTGATGGTACAAAATTATGAAAGGAAAAAATAAACTGTAAGTTTATCCAGAGAAATTTTGTCAAGTGACTGAATTCAGCAATAAATTCCAGAATATGAGTAGGAAATAACAAACCAAAAAAGGCATATTGACCGCATCTAATGCCTGCCTTTTTCTAAAATGTTCCTTAATATAGTTTTACCTAAGACTATCCTGGGTAAATTCACCCCAATAATATTCCATGAAAAGTTTCTCAAAATCATCAAATGAATTAAATTCTGCCTCTCTACTTGAAAACCAGATCAACACTTTATTTTATAGTGTTTCTCTAACATATTCTGTTAAATCTTTTATCATGACTGTATGACAAATCTATATTTCAGCATTATACCTTTTACTTGACCCAACTCAACATGCATCTCTTCCTGTGCCACTTTCTTACTCTTCTTATCCTGTACCTTTTTAACTACCTCTGTTTTACTCATATATGTAGATAGCTTTTTCCATGGCACCATTTTTAATTTGTTCTAACCTCTTATATCTCTAATTTGTCTCTTATTAGTCTCTTATTTGTCTATTATTTGTCTCTTATTTGTCTCTTATTTTTCTCTTTTTTTTTTTTCTCCTATTTTTCTCTTATTTTTTTCTTATTTTTCCCTTATTTTTCTCTTATTTTTCTCTTATTTTTCTCTTATTTTTCTTTTATTTTTCTCTTATTTTTCTCTTATTTTTCTCTTATTTTTCTCTTATTTTTCTCTTATTTTTCTCTTATTTTTCTCTTATTTTTCTCTTATTTTTCTCTTATTTTTCTCTTATTTTTCTCTTATTTTTCTCTTATTTTTCTCTTATTTTTCTCTTATTTTTCTCTTATTTTTCTTTTATTTTTCTCTTATTTTTCTCTTATTTTTCTTTTATTTTTCTCTTATTTTTCTCTTATTTTTCTCTTATTTTTCTCTTATTTTTCTCTTATTTTTCTCTTATTTTTCTCTTATTTTTCTCTTATTTTTCTCTTATTTTTCTCTTATTTTTCTCTTATTTTTCTCTTATTTTTCTCTTATTTTTCTCTTATTTTTCTCTTATTTTTCTCTTATTTTTCTCTTATTTTTCTCTTATTTTTCTCTTATTTTTCTCTTATTTTTCTCTTATTTTTCTCTTATTTTATTTTTCTCTTATTTTTCTCTTATTTTCCTCTTATTTTCTCTTATTTTTCTCCTATTTTTCTCTTATTTTTCTCTTATTTTTCTCTTATTTTTCTCTTATTTTTCTCTTATTTTTCTCTTCTTTTTCTCTTATTTTTCTCTTATTTTTCTCTTATTTTTCTCTTATTTTTCTCTTATTTTTCTCTTATTTTTCTCTTTTTTCCTCTCATTTTTCTCTTAATTGTCTTTTATTT